GAGAAGAGAAGAGAAGAGAAGAGAAGAGAAGAGAAGCATATGAGTACTTGACATGTGAGTCAACTGCAGGCATTTCCATACTGGCATCCTTTTCACTTCTCAAACCTTCAAAAACTTGAAGGGAAGCTTGAAGGGTATCCAGGAATGGCTTTATTCCTGCTTAGTTGAAATACTAAAACAAGAAGCAAAAATGGCCATTCCACCCTGAATTATAACAGATCTCAAAGTAAGAAAATATCCCCACAACATTCATCGTCCAAGAGGCTGAGAAGGAAAAGAAAACATACGTGAGTGGGATAGACATTGCACACCAACTCCTTGTTGAATAGAAAGAGGAAATTGACAAGTTACAGGATTATTACACTTTTCCTTTAGTCTGGGCTACTGAAGCTAAATTGCTAAGCCAACAAGTTTACATTTCTCTTACAGAACCTGAAAGTTAAAAACCAGCAGCAGAGCTGTAGCAAAAGTTTTCCAACAGGAAAAAACAGCCTCATTTATTTCAAAGCAACAACAATCCCAAATAATAATTTTTAAAAATCCACTTTCTCAATGGTTTCCCCTGTACTAAGCCAGCCTTTTCCAGCACTGACGTGCAATTGCAGAAGACTGGAACAACTTTCAATTTACCTCATAAATGAAACTACCCTATTTCATGTGAAGCTAGTTACCAATTTCACAATGAAATTTAGATATATTTTTTTCACTTGCAGATATCCCTTGATTATACTCTTGTATCATTTCTTCAAAGTCCAATAAACACATTCTTTTATTTCATATTTAGGATCAAATGTTATTATAAAATGGAAGGTTAAAGGCAGAAGGCCCAGTTAACAGATATCTCTATTTATGTGACTTGGTGTTTCTACTCCAGATATACTGTTAGACATCTTGCTTATTGTTCTCAAAAACAATTTAAGGCAATTCTATCTCCTTTTCCCTGACAGATAAAGTGTTCACATGTTTATATAGAGTGCCTTCATACGTGGCAGCTAAACACAAATTGAATTTATTTGAGCAAGAAAAATATGTCAATACAATGAAATTTGTAAAACAAAATCAATTTGAACAGGCGAACAAACCAGGGAGGTGGATGGCTTACAAATTAAGAAAAGAAAGAGAGAAATGAACAATTCATCAACTGCAGGATAAGGATGGTAAGTTATGTCAGAATCTAGGAAAGAAAAAAGAGATAGTAACCCAATTTTTTCAAGATTTATACACACAGGATAAGGTTCCAGCAGAGGAAATAGATCAATATTTAAAAGAGGAGGGAATGCCAGTAATAACTGAAGAAGAGGAAGAGATACTCAATAGAGAGGTTACTATAGAGGAACTACAGGCAACAATTAGGAAACAAAAAAACAATAAAACTCCGGGAACAGATGGGTTACCAATAGAATTATATAAAGGATTAGGAGAATCACTAAATTGGATATTATTAGAGGTCTACAATGGGGCATTGAAAGAGGCAAAGCTGCCAGAATCTTGGAGGGAGGCATATATCTTGCTAATCCGAAGGAGGGGGCAGATACAACACAGATAAAAAATTATAGGCCGATCTCTTTACTAAATTCCGATTATAAGATTTTTATGAATTTGATGGCAAACAGATTAAAGACAATATTAAACAATAGAATACATTCAGACCAGAATGGATTCCTGCCGGCAAGACAAATTAAAAATAACATAAGGACTGTGATCAATGTAATAGAATACTATGAGGTGTATCCAGAGAAACAGGTAGCCCTGATTTTTCTGGATGCACAAAAGGCATTTGATTGGGTCAACTGGAGATTCATGACACAACAAATAAAGAATATGAAACTCTGGGAGAAATTCGAAAAGATGATAGTTTCAATATACACAAAACAGAGAGCAAGGATACTAGTTAATGGGGAATTAACAAATTTTTTTGAAATAAGTAGAGGAGTACGACAAAGGTGCCCACTTTCACCACTACTTTTTATTCTAACACTAGAAAATCTACTTAGAAGAATCAGACTCAACAAAAATATAAAAGGACTCAAGGTTAAAGGAGAAGAATACACGATCCAAGCGTTCGCTGACGACCTTGTATTCTTCATAGAGGATCCATTAGAAACAGAATTAACAGAAGAAATAGAGAAATTTGGTAAGGTTGCAGGTTTAAAAGTCAATTTGCATAAGACCAAAATATTATCTAAAAATTTAACAGTAAAACAAATAGAAGAGTTAGAAAAACAATCAGGATTACAAGTAGTTAAGAGGATAAAATATTTAGGTATTAATCTGACAACTAGGAATGTGGCTATAAAAGATAATAATTATGGAGAGTTAATACAACAAATCAAAAATGATTTAGAAAGATGCGGGAAACTAAAGTTATCATTGCTAGGAAGAATTGGGGCGATAAAGATGAATATACTCCCGAGGCTCCTCTACTTATTTCAAACTATTCCAGTTAAATTAGAGAAATGGATAGACTAATGTTGAAATTGAAAGATAAGGAAGACTCACAGTATTTTAAGATATGGGACAGTTGGTATGAATGGATAAACCAATGGAATAGAAGGTAATGTCAAAATTTAGTAAGAAAATAAAAGTAATAATTATACACCGTCATTAAGGAAAAAAAGGAAAATAAGTTTTTGTATATATTTGTACTTATATATATTATATATACTTAGTTTGTTTGTTGTTTGTTGATACTGTTGATTGTATTTTAAGGTTGTGAATGTTTTATACAATTTTATCCTTTTTAAATCTAATAAAGTTTGTTTTTTAAAACCAAAAAAAAAAAATAGAGTGCCTTCATACAGTGAAATTTAAAGCAGTAAGTATATTACTTTAATAATTAGAATATCTAGATTTTTAAATTTTTGCTAATTATAAGATTTTCTGGTATCCTAGAGTGTTGTACACAATTTAAAAGGCTAATCAATGCAAATTTATAAAGAAGGAACAAAAAAGAACCTGAAAAAATCAAAAAGAAGTACAGGCCAGAGATTCATCAGAGAAAAAATCCCAAATAAGACAAGGGTGGAATGACTTGCTCTGTAGAGGATGTATAGAATGAAGTCACTGAGGAGAAACTAATTGTGCAGAGATTTAGAATCTTGCTTCAAGTTGCAGATACTTCTTTCAATAAGGGCAGGTACCACAATAGATGGGCAATATTACACCCACCTTCACAACTTCTTTGTTGTAAAGTTTATTCTAATAAGCTTACAGAAATATCCCGGCTTTCTAGCAGGCATGGATCTAAAAGGATAGTACTAACTTTTTAAAAGTCTATTTTTTGATAAATGCTTTTCAAATTTAACTTTTTAAGGAGATTTTACATTCTAGCACTATTTTTCTTTATAACTGTTGTATCCATCCCTGGTTTAATTCTGGGAGGAGAGCCAAGCCAGTGAGGAGAAAATGGCACAAATTCTAGAGTTCCTAATCATGACCATCCACTATCTGTAAAAGGGATGTGTCTTCCCCTGTATTTACCCTGTTCTGACCTTGATGTTAAAGGAGTTAACATCAAAGTCAGATCTGGATAAACACAGGGAAAGAAATGCCCTAGATTTAATTAAAGGAAAGATACAGGTTCCAAATGACTTTTTGGAAGATGAGGAAGATTTAACTCAATCGTTTGTCATTCTCCTCCTCCCCCCATCCCTAGGATGACAATTGATCTTGAAACAATTAAATTTATGCTGCAGTCAGCCACAGCTGTAACTGAGTTTCTTAACATCTTACTTCCTTCTAGTTGCTTCTCTGTGGAAATGCTGCTAAACCCAGCCTCTGAGAGTGCAAAATCTGCAATAAAAAAGGCATTCCAGTACTACAAGTTGACTCAGCCTTCCAAGATTAATAAAATGGGGACCTCAGGTTGTTGGGGGCAATATGTGGGCATGGTAAGCTGCTCAGAGAGTGTTGTAAAGCAGGGATCTCCAACCTTGACAACTTTAAGACTTGTGGACTTCACAAGCCTTAAAGTTGCCAAGGCTGGAGACCCCTGTTGTAAAACACTATGAAGTGGTATATAAGTCTAGGTGCTATTGCTATTTTGTTATAAACATTTCTTCAAATTTTGCAGGAGGAAAGAGTATACACTCTGTGTCCTAACCTGTGAATGTTAATGACCTTTACCAGTTCCAATTCTTTTGTGGTTTCAGCATCAAAAGTAGTATTGTCTGCTTTCTTTGCCATTCTCTTGTCCTGAGGCAAATCCTTCAGAGATTTTCCAGGAGTTCTTACAAATATTACTACACAATTAAACCAAACTGAAAATTTTCCCCTATCAGTTTGACAAGATAGAACATAAAAACATGCTCAACTTATTAATAATGTGATTTAAATTAATATCCAGTGAGGTATGGCAAGAATAAGTGTAAGGTTGGTCAAGTGCAATGGTAAAGCTAAGTGTTTCATTCATGTTCAGTCCTTTAATGTGTAATATATAGTTTTAAAATGGTAGCATCTTTCATTTAAGTTATCCTGCCTGTCACACACATTCAGAATAGTTTTTAAGACTTGTCCAACATTGATGACATGACTGAGTTTGGATGTTATTGAACACAATACCTAGAAAGGGATGCAGTAAGTATAACAAATGACATGAATGAAAGGCATTGTTTGTATTAAACTCTGATTGTACAAGGATCCATAAAACTGGACACATAGTACCACAAGCAATGGAACTTAAAAACAAAACAGGGAATTGAATTCATCCAGAACGTGACATGTGCTTTCATGGTTTAATAACTATCTGTCAATGTCATCTTGTCTAGACTGTGTCACATATCCTACAGATTAACTAAACCTGAAGCCTTCATATCTTCAAGCACCAGAGTGTAAACTAAAAGCAAGATTGAACTGGCACTGCCACATAAAAGCATATCATAACAATTTTTTTTTTAATTTGATTTATATGCCACCCTTCTCCGGAGACTCAGGGCGGCTTACAATGTGCTCAGCAATAGCCTTCATCCTTTTTGTATATTTATACAAAGTCAGCTTATTGCCCCCACAACTGGGTCCTCAATTTACCTACCTTAGAAAGGATGGAAGGCTGAGTCAACCTTGAGCCTGGCGAGATTCGAACCTGCAGTAATTGCAGGCAGCTGGTCTTAATAACAGGGTGCTTTAGACCACTGTACTACCAAGGCTCTTGAATTTACTTGAATTTCCTTTTGGTTTTTCTGTTTCTGTTGGTTTTTTTCAATTTGGGACTAAAGAAGAATGATTCCAGGTATGTCCTCCCCTACAATATTGTTTTTTTCCTTGTTTCCTTTCCTCTATAGACCTTCTCACAGTTTCCCAAAAGACCAAAATGTCTTGTACACAAAACTCTGCCTTTTCCTTACATACAACTTATAAATACATTCAGGCAATTTTACAAAGGCACACAATACATTTCTTCATTTTTGATGCATCATACATGTAATTTGTATAGTGGCATAAGAATGACTTCAAATACATTAAAAAGAGGGACAGAGAAGCATGATTTTTACAGCTAGGATTTTTAAATAACTCATCACTGGATCAATCAATCATATGCTGACACCCTGCTATCAAGCAACTCTCGGTGGCTTAAAACATGATAAAATGACAATATAAAACATTAGAACATTAAAATGTTACATATTATAATTAACAAAAATATAGAAACTAGTTTACAATGGAGTGGAGATGGGGTCTTTTTAATCCACTAACACTTCCAGTATAAAATACCCCCATTGGGGGCCCAGGCCAATTGAAAGAGCCAAGTTTGGGGCCATTTCGGAAGGTCAAGAGAATGGAGGCAGATCTCATCTCAAGGAGCACGATATTCCAGAGGGTGAGAGCCAGCTGAAATTCTTTGCCCAACTGGATCCCCAGCATGCTCCTTCTGCCTGAGCAAGTGGGTTGGGCCAGTCCCACTGAGGTGAGACAGTTTCTCAGGTAGTCTGGACCTATGCCATATAGGGTTTTAAAGGTAATAATCAACATCTTGAATTGGATCTGGAAGCAAATGAACAACTAGTGCAGCTCACACACCAGATGTTCCTGGGAAACTCTGGAGACCCCTAGAACTGTCCACACGGTTGCATTCTGTGCCATCTGTATCTTCTTAAATATACCTTACCTAAATTCAGCCCCATGTACAGCACATTTCAGTAGTCCAAATGCAAGATGGGCCTGAGTGATTGAGTGAAGGGACTTACAATCCAGAAAAGGACACAATTGGTTATAACACAAAGGAAGGAGTTCAAAAAATCCATTTCATTCAAGATCCTCTAAAGCTGTCACAGAACTACCATATGATGACTGTGAATGGCTTCCAAAAGAATTGTCAAAGGCAGTTCACAAGGGGATTGTCAATGATGCTAGATCTTTCCTTGTTTCTCTTTCTTTCTTTCGTTTCTTTCTGTGGCTGCAAAGAAAAAAAGAAAGATTTAGGGTACATCAACAGAAGTATTGGTTCCCATCTGCATTGGTGAGCTCACATAGTATTGCATTTAGTACTGAAAGAAGTAAAGAGCAGGGCAATGATCCAATGAAGGAACTAGCAGCACCTCTGAAGAGAAACGGAAAGAACTGAGTATGAATAGCCTGAAGAATATAAAACTGTGATACTTGATACTCAAATATCAGAAGGCATTATATAACAATGGATTTAGGTTACAAAAACTCCTTTCAACTCCTGCTGAAAGTAAGAAAAAAAAAACTCCTCAATGATGGTTTGAAAAACGAGACAGGTGGCAATTATGGAGATGCTTTGATTTGTATTCCTGCCATAAGCAGACACCTCCACAGGCACCACCATCTGCCTGACCTTGATTAGCTTCAGAGACTAAGTAGGGCAAAAGCTGATCACTAGTTGGTTGGGAAATCCCCAGAGAATATCAGCGCTGTAAGCTAGACTGGGGAAGAAAAAAGAAAATGTTCTCGAGGAAAGAAGTGGCAAACCTTGTCCACATTTTTTGCCAAGAAAACTGCATGACTACGACCATAAAATCACCAGGAGTCAATCTGGGACTCAAAAACAGAGCACTGAAAAGGTATTGGGTTCAATGCCCAATATGGCTTTTCCAACTAGATGGTTCTATTACTTCTATTATTTTTATTTCCTTTAGAAGTTGATCATACAGCTACTGTCCTCAGATTCAGCTCCCAAGAAAATATTTTCTTTCTCAATATGTATTAATAATAGAAACTACTTGGTGGATAGGTTAACTGATGAATAAATCAGAGCTGTACAAAAGGCCTATGAAAAATTAGATCTCTCTAGGATATGCTGCTGTCCTGAGGGAATGCAATGGTTTGAAGCGTGATTAAGTGCTGCTGCTGAAGCTCAACATGCAGCAAAACCAGACTGTCTAGGCAGCAAGTACCAAGTGCATTAGAGAATTCACATGAGGAGACTGAAGAAGGATCTGGTGAGCCTTTTACCTAGAGTGCTGTCTGTCAGTAACCAGGTGAAGAAAGTAGTATTTCTATGTGTTCATCTCAGCATGTCTATAATTAGTGTCTGTAGCTCTGATTTAAGCTTTCCATTTTATACTTGCATTCTGTGTGGCACTGTAAAAATAGATCTGCTATGGGGAAATCCCCAAACCACTGCTGAAATAGGACAAGATGGCACCTTTCCAGTACTGCAGCAGATAGGGTCAAATTTACTTCAGTGAAACAGTGCTGGAGACTATGCTTGATCAGCAAAAGACAGAAATTTTTCTGGATTTTTTAAAATTTCCTACACGTTTTCATTCAGTAAGAGGAAGGAGAACTTGCGTTCACATTTTCTTTTAAAAGAGAATTTCAATTAAATTCTTGCCCTTATTTAGTTCAGAATTACTTATTTTATAAAATTATCTATTAACAAGCTTCCAACATGAAATTCCAAGGGAAATGATCATAAGAAAATTCCTACCAGAAATCCTTTTCAGTAACAATGTTGATGTCACTGCAAAGGGGTAGTCCTGCTCTTGAAAAATAACTTCTTCATCTGAAGAAATCTGGAGAAACTGTCCACCCAATTTCTTCTCCACGAATGATTTAAGAATTTTGATAGTCCATTTGGGTTCTGGCTCCATCTCAGTCACTTTTGTAGCCTGTCAACAATGATTTGATTAATATTTTCCAAAGCAACCTTCTCTATCTTATTATTTCCAAATGTGTTAGACCAAGATTTCCAGTATTCCCAGTCAATTCGCCCATCAAAGATCAATATAATGATTTGAAAAGTCTGGTTTAGGAGTTATTAGCCATGTCTGAAAAACTATCAACATCTGGAGAAGGACTACTCTAAATCATATAAAAACTTTTTCATGTTTATCCATTAGGATTTTGTACCAATTTGAAAGCTAGTTTGGCGTCAACTGTAAAATCTGATAAGCATTTCCATTTTATTCTCATTTTGTCAAGAAATTAAATAGCGATGGGTTGAAGATAGCATCTTTGGGGACTCCACTCAATAGTCCCCTCCAAGACTATTACAATTTACAAATATTTGCTATTTACAAATACACTCTTCATACAGATATTCAATTAGTAGCAAACCCACTGGGCTTCAATAGTCCATCTAGCTCATATTATCCAGTTTGACCACAAGGATATCATGAGATACCTTGTTAACCACCATAATGAGATTAAAATCTATTACATCCAGATAATTACCTTGGTCTACCAAACTAGCAACTTCAGACCCTTCAACACACTGGGATGGCCGTGGAAACTTGAATTAAGACAGCAAGGTGTCCCTTACCATACATTTAGTGTCTTTGTTCTCAGCATGGCAAGTCAACAAAAGTAAGAATCATCTCAGATTGCCTTCAAACTATATTTGAGAATATAAGGAATTAAAATGGTATGGTATAAAAGTATCCTTGCAGATACTACCACTTCTAAGCATATCAGACTATCTTGCCTTAGAATTCTGAGCTAACCTGTGAAAGCCATTTTACAATTTAATAATTCATTAAACCAAGCCACGAGATTACAGTCCATAAAAAGATTAATTTAAATAATTAAGAGCCGCGATGGCGCAGTGGTTAAAGTGCAGTACTGCAGGCTACTTCTGCTGATCACTGGCTGCCAGCAGTTTGGCAGATCGAATCCTACCAGGCTCAAGGTTGACTCAGCCTTCCATCCTTTTGAAGTTGGTAAAATGAGGAGCCAGATTGTTGGGGGCAATATGCTGACTCTGTAAACCACTTAGAGAGGGCTGTAAAGCAGTCTAAGTGCTATTGCTAATTTAGTTTGATGTGGAAATTAATCTGTTCCAAAAACAATCATGCAGGTGCCTCACTGTTCACCAGATAAATTCAGCCAGCTTTATATTAGGTCTGCTTAATCTTGCCACACTAAGTATAAAATCAGATCTCACAAATGTCCAGCCATTCCACATTTTCAGGGTTAATTTTCTTTCCCACTAGTTAATGTTCATAAATGTTAATATGTTCAAATTCACCTTGAGGGAAGATAGGACCCAAGCTTTCTCAGCACTGAAGATAACAGGAAATAGAAAGCCAATTTTATTTCCTGCCATTTCATTGGGCCCTTTGCTCTCATCTTATTAATAACACCTAAGCATTTCATTAGACCATTATGTCATTGTTATCTTGATTGGCAGTAGGTAACTGTGACAATTACAATTATATGTCTGGCCAGTGAACAAAACTGACTAAGAAATGCTCACTGGCAAAATGATACATAACTGATCTCAAATAATAAAACTATTTATAATTGGAAACAATATATCAGAAAATTAATACAACTCTTACCAAGAAACCAATTTTTTTTTGTCAGAAAATTAAAAACATATTAAAATTAGACAGAGTCAAAAATGGTGATGAGTCTAATAGTTTTGGGATATAAAGGAGCTAAACATGCTTGGTTATTTCCCACATATGTACGCAGCTAAATATCTCTTCAAGTGGGATTAAATCCAACTATGAATTTGAGGTATCAAATGCTGGAGCTAAATGAGCTCTTTCAGGTGCATGAGTCCAGATAAGATGTTGGGGAGCACTGTGGAAAGGAGGAGGCATTTCTTACCAATAGAGGACTGTCTTCCCAAAGCCTGTACAATAGTGAATTTGACCTTTCTTGATTTGGACACATTTATTTATTTATTTATTTATTGGTTCGATTTATATGCCACCTTTCTCCGGAGACTCAGGGCGGCTTACAATGCGTTAAGCAATAGCCTTCATACTTTTTGTATATACCTGCATAGTAGGGCTTTCGGCACCCCCTAAGCAGTGTTCTTTTTTATACAAAGCCAGCTTATTGCCCCCACAATCCGGGTCCTCATTTTACCTACCTCGGAAGGATGGAAGGCTGAGTCAACCTTGAGCCTGGTGAGATTTGAACTCACAGTAATTGCAGGCAGCTGGTAACTAAGTGCTACTTAACGGCACTTTAATCCGCTGCACCACATGATGCTCTTATGCGGTTCTTAACACTTTTATCCTATCACTATATTTGTTCTGGGTAATCTGAGTATCACAACATAATGCTGCAAAAGCCTCACTTGTGCTGAAATTCTTGGAGGGAGTGGTTATGAGATTTAATGCTACTAAGTAAAACTAGTTTGGGGGTCAAACACACTGTAAATAGCATTTACAGTGGTTCACCATGCATTGTGTTATTGACCGAGAGGAACAATAAAATCAGCTTTGAATGCAGAAGCATTCAACTATTCAAGACAAAATAAAAACCAAAGCCAAAACTGTTTAAGATAAATATAGTACCTTCTTGATAAATATTGTACTATATCACTTCTTGGCCTTTTGGCTAAGATCAAGTGTGTATGTGTACTATATAATATGTAAATTGATCTATAGTATTGCCCCTGGATCCTTTAAAATATAGCATAATAAATCCCTGCAAGCTATTTATTCTTCAGCATATTATTTTCCCTTGATCCTAAATAACAGCTAGCCATAATTTTTACTTTTACCTTGTGTAACTAAATAGCCTCTCCAAGGAGATGAATAATGTATTCCATAGAAGAAATGCTTGAAAAAGCAAATGAGCAAGACAATTAGAAAAGGTGCAAATGACCTTGTATTTCACTTCAACTTGCAATTGTACAACTTATTCTTACCTCTGATTAAAATTCTTTAAAATTAATTTCCTTTCAAATTCTTTTCTTAATCAAATATACATTTTTAACATCTTGTAGGCAATTCTTTCCTTTCTTATTTTTGGAGGGGAAAGGGAGTATAAGGGACTATATATAGAGCATGAGTATCTCATTAAAACAATTGAACTAGGAGCTGTGCCCTCTGTGGAACACATACTGCCTTGCTCCTTTGATTATATTATCTCACAGAAGCATGAGATACCCAACATAAGCAGAAAGGGTATCTCTCTGAGCTATTTCAAGCATGAGTAAACCTGTATATCATTAGAACTTCTGCACAATATATAGCAGAGTGAATCATCTCCATCCTTGAATAACTTTGTTAGTCAAACACATAAGTACTGACCATGTCAGCAGTTCCAATAAATTCTAAATCAAATGAATTCAATTCACTATAAATTCTAAGAGGGATGTCCTAAGCTTCTCTTCAATACTGATTATTCTGATGATGGATTCCACTGTAGAGACTTCCCACTGAGCCTTAAGGGTTCTTTTGTTTCTGTTTGTTTTGTCTAACCACTATTACATAAGAAAAATAAACACTGATGCTATTCACAAACTTTTTTTCTCTAACTCCTAGTCCAGTAGAAAAATTATTTTACTTTCCTTATATACAACCAAGAGCAGACTATTGATTTTCAATACTAGGAACTGCAAACCCAGGGCAGTGCCTTCATATTTTGCAATATGACAGACTATAGGGAGTACACCCCGGGTGCAGGAACATAGGAAGAGTCTTTCATTCCCTTCTACAGAGATTCTGTTGAATCAAGACTCACCCATTACAACCTTGGTAGCAGATCTTGGTTTCAATAAGGAGTGGCATTTTATTTTAAATGCCACTTTTATTTCATTTAGCTTTGGATAAAAAGTTGTCAATATGTCTTTCTTGTATATGAGGGCTGTTGTCTTCAACACTACAGCATTCTGATTGGTTGCTTTTTAAATCAAGACATAAACTAGGGTATAGATATAGGGAGCAATAGCAACAGCAACAATTTCAAGGTCTTCATCCCTGTTGTCCCCTATTCAATCATCCATCTGTTCATAGGACAAAGGAGAAAACAAGGCAATGTAAAAAGAGAAATGGAGGGGTGGTGTGAATGTCTCGGGAAATCGTAACCAACTCAGGATGCCACAATGACTTCTCACAACAACAGGTCAAAATTAGTCTGATGGGCCATAATTTAAATATCTGCTTGTGATCAAAACTAACTAACAATAAATGTTACTTACATTTGATTAAATAGATTAAATCTGAAGATTTTTCTAAAATTCTAAAGTATTCCTAATGCAGCTACAGAATTTCTCATTGAGAGAAGGGAGTAGAAGGATTGTAGCAAAATTTTTCATTAATACCTTTAGCTGTAATCTCCTTTGTGGGGGAAAAAACCCAAAGCACTTGGGAAAGTTTTAATCTTCTCTGCCTGATGGATTAATATTTGAGAATACAAATAGTAGGATCTGTACCAAATCTCTTGGTACAGATGCTGCTAGTGGCCTTCAGCCAGTGGTGGGCTGCTGCCGGTTGTAACAATTGGTTCGCCCAGCACCGAAAATGTAAGCACGCGCCCGCGCTCACTCACTTCGCTTGCACGTGCACCCACACATGAACGCAGCCTTCCACACATGCACGTGGCTTCAGAAACATGGCGATATAGGACAGGATAGGGCCAGGGTGGGTGGGCAGGCCTACCCTCGGGTCGCAACTACCAATTCGCCTGAACTGATCCGAACCGGCAGCAGCCCACCTCTGCCTTCAGCCCAACTTCATGCAATCCTTGTTCCAATTCCAAAATTCTTTTGCAAGTAATCAGAAGAATTTCTGTTCTCATCCTATATGTCTGCCTATTCATACCATCTCTTCCCCATCACTTATTCCACCTTCCCCAGATTGTATGCATATACAGTAAAGTTTTGTGTATATTTATAATCTTTCTCCTTCTTAATTGGTTTATTGAT